CCCTCCAATTAACGTCACCCCTTCTGACGTCACACCTTTCCCCTTCTTCGGGTTGCGGCGACTCACACGAGCCTCGCTTCTGGTATCTCCGTTGCCACGGCAGCACCCCATGCGCGATGCGCGTGCGTGTGTGCTTTTTGAGTTTTTTAGAGTTGATTTATATGCTCTGTGGTTTTCGGCTACTTTCGATCCTGCGCGACGGTACCAGACGTGAGACCTTGATTTTTTTCACTTTAGATTTTGATATAAGCAGATGTAACGTACGCGCCCTGTGTGTGTGTGTGTGGTGTGTCGTGTGTGTGTGTGTGTGTGTGTGTGTGTGTATATATGTGTGTGTGTTGTGTGTGTGGTGGTCGTGTGTGTGTGCTGTGTGTACCGTGCGTGCGTACGTACGTCGTGGTGCGGTGGTGCGTGTGTGTGTGTGTCTGCGTGCGGTGTGTGTGCGCGTGTGCTGTGTCGTGTGTGCTGCGTGCGTGTTGCGTGCGTGTTTGTGTGTGCGTGTGTGTGCGTGGTTCGGTGCGTGCCGTGTGTGTGCTGTGTGTATGTGTAGCCTGCGTTGCGTGTGTGGCGGCGTGTGGTCGTGTGTGTGTGTGCTGTGAGTGCGTTGGCGTGCGTGGTGCGGTTTGCGTGCTGTGTATGTGTTATTGGTGTGTGTGTGTGCTGTGTGTGTGTGTGTGTGTGTGTGTGTGTCCGTGTGTAGTGATGTGTGCTGCGCGCGTGTGTGTGGTATGTGTGTGCATGTGGTGTGTTGTGTGCGTGTGTGCCCACGTGCATACGTTTGTCGTGCGTGTGTTGATGTGTGTGTTGGTGTGTGTACGTGCGTGGTGCGTACGTTCGTGCGTGCGTACCGTGGCAGTGTGCCGTGCGTGCGGTGGTGTGCCTGCGTGCGTGTGTGTGGCGTGTGTGTGTGCGTGTGTGTGCTGTGCGTGTGAGTGCGTGTCGTGTGTGCGTTGTGTGTGCGTGCGTGGCGTTGGTGTGTGTGTGTGTGTGTGTGTGATGTGGCCTGCGTGCGGTGTGTGTGCGTGGGTTGGTGTGTGTGCGTGTGCGATCGTGCGTGCGTGCGTGCGGTGCGTGCTGTGTATGTGTATGTGTGTGCGTTGTTGTGTGGTGTGTGTGTGTGTGTGTTGTGACTGTGTGTGTGTGTGGTGTGTGTGTGCATGCGTGTGTGTATGTGTGTGCATGTGTGTGTGGTGCTTGTGTTGCGCCCACGCTGCATACGTGAGTGCGTGCGTGTGTGTGGCGTGTGTGTGTTGTGTGTGTGTGTGTGTGTGTGTGTGTGACTGGTGTGTGCATGCGTGTGTGTGTATGTGTGTGCATGTGTGTGCGCCCACGTGCATTACGTGCGTGCTCGCCGTGTGGTGTGTGGTGTGTGCTTGTGTGCTGTGTGTGTGTGCTGTGTGTGTGTGTGTGTGCTGGTGGTATGTGCATGCGGTGTGTGTAGTATGTGTGTGCAGTATGTGTGTGTGTGTGTGTTGTGGTTGTGCGCCCACGTGCGTACGTGCGTGCGTGTGTGTGTGTGTGTGTGTGTGTGTGTGTGTGTGTTGTGTGTGTGTATGTGCATGCGTGTGTGTTATGTGTGTGCATCATGTGTGTGTGTGTGTGTGTGTGTGCTGTGGCGCCACGTGCGTACGTGCGTGCGTCCGCTGTGTGTGTGTGTGTGGTGTGTATGTGTGTGTGTGTGTGCGCACGTGCGTACGTGCGTGCGTGTGTGTGTGTGTGTGTTGTGGTGTGTGTGTGTGTGCTGTTGTGTGTGTGTGCGCCCAGTGCGTAGTTGCCGTGTGTGGCGGTTTCACCATCTTCGCCTGCGGTGGCATCCCTCAAGGAAAGAGGATGCCGAGAGAGAGAGAGGAGGAGCTGAGAGAGGCCGAGGAAGGGAGGAGACGAGAGGGAGAGGATAGAGAGGGAGGAGGAGAGAGAGAGAGGGGGAGAGAGGGAGAGAGGTGGACCGGTATATTGAGAGGAGGGGGAAGGAGCGAGAGACGGGAGGGGAGTAGAGAGAGAGAGAGAGGAGAGAAGAAGAGAACGAGAGAAGAGAGAGAGAGAGAGGAGAGGGAGAGAAGAAGAGGGAGAGAGAGAGAGGAGAGAGAGAAAGAGAGAGAGAGAGAGAGAGAGAGAGAGAGAGATAGAGAGAGAGAGTAAGTAGTGAGTGAGTGAGTGAGTGAGTGTGTAAATACGCATCGATGCGCGCGCCGCTGCGTGTATAATGAATGACTGATGTGTGAGATATAGATTGTCGTCTGCCTGCTCAGCTCCTCTAATTATTCCATTACTGGCGGCGATCCCCGCGCGGCTTGGCGCGTCAGTAAGCGATCCAACGTCAGCGCGAGATACCGCGACGACGGCTGCGTCCGACGCTGACGATGACGCTGACGATGACGATGACGGTTCCGTCTGACGATGACGATGACGGTTCCCGTCTGACGATGGACGATGACGGTTCCGTCTGAACGGATGACGATTGACGATGAAGGCTCCGTTTAACGCTGGCGATTGACGCGGAGGATCCGCCTGACGCTGACGCTGACGATGACGCGACGGCTCCGTCTGACGCACATGACGCAGATGCGACGGCGATCTGGTAATTTGGAGACGACGCTGACGCTGAAGGTGATTTTGTAGTGATGAATATATCGAACGCAGACAGTAGGATGTAACAGTTGTATAAACGGTGACGATTACAGTTTTATTACAAATACGGATAAAAAAACCGTGTACACGTACGGATCAGTGGTTGCCGTCGTCTCTCCCATTTCTACCAAAACCCGCCCTTTTAAAACGATCATTGCGAGAATTTTGCTCAGAAAAACTAAATATAGCTGAATATAGTCTCACTTGACAGCGAAAATATCACTGATTACACCAACATTCAAAACACCAATATTTTATGCAATATATATATATTGATTTGACCACATCATACCAGCAATACATTTTTTCGAGTCCGGACTTTCAAAAATCACAAATGGCTTCTCAAACAAGCAAACATAATTAAAACAAAGGGGCATCTATTTGTGTGTGATAAGTATTCTCGCTGGCCGTACGCAACGAGGCGCAGCGGAGAGTGTGTGAGCGGGTGAGCACAAATCAAACAACTTTTGAAGACTAATATTTATGAGGTTACAACTTACACTCCTATTTGTGTTAGTACTGTTACGGTACTAATTACTATGCACCTCTGTGTTTACATCTGACCTAAAATATCTCCGGTGCAATTTTTGCATTACTGCACCCTTGTTGACGTTCGCGGTACCGCGAGAAAGTGCGAGACATGACAGCGAAAATCAACAAGAGAACGCAAAATTGTAATCGTGCATGATTTTGTCTTTGCATGAGGTTCTAAGACATTTTATTGTTATTTGAAACAATTACTGTTACTCAAGCAACAACGGTAGGCACATTAAGAGTGAGAATAAACACTAAAAAACGCTGAAAAAACTCAAAATGATCGCTTTAAGTCGTCAGCATCGTACCATGGTACCAGGTAGGATCGTCGACCACCGTTGGCGTTGCCTGCCTAATGATGGCCGTTTGATAAACCGCGTCGCATTCTTGTTGAAGTTAATGTGTTCGTACCATTCTAAAATGTATTCTGTCCACGCTGAATTATGTATGCTCTTAATTATGTAGCTAATGTACTCTGGGTCCATCGCCTGGTGGGTCTCCGAACATTTGCATTACTAGTATGCAAAATTCCCTATGTCCCTATCTCAACGCTAAAACGCCGTACTACAATTTCACCGTTACTGTACGTCTTGACACTGACGGCTGTGGCTTCCCGTGAGTGACGGCAGGGGGCGCTGGTGTCTGCAGTCACGTCATGTGTCGTGCGGGCCCGCGCAGCCGATCTCACGGTAAGGAATTTCTATAAGCGCCATGGTTACGTTTTATATGTTTTGCCAATTAGAAGCTATATTGTGATAACGGGGCAAAAAACGCCGAGGCACTTATTTTGCGACGGTTGCATTTGAGTGTATAGGCATGTATAGTTGTACGTAAGTCTGGTGCTTTTCTTCTGTGTGTGTTGTGTGTGTTG